GTATAGTGGCTCAAGTAATAAATATCGAATCCACGGGTCTCTAGAGTTACTATTACTCAGCTTCGGTTCATTATCTAGCAAACCAGATTAAGATGAAAGAACTAAAACTACTCTAGCAAACTACAGTTAAAGTTAATTTAATCACAGGTTGGGAACTCACTTAGGTATGATTCCCCCTAGCCACTAGCCAGATTAATGATTGATGATCTCTAACCTGTTTCACTTTCATTCACAATGCGGAGAATCCTTAACTAGACCTTGAATCTCGACTAAAGGTTCAAGGCCCTCTTGAGTCAATTGCCTAGAGGGACGTATCCTTCTCTAGAACAACCGATCAAGGCGTTCTGAACTAGACTCCCTCTATCGAATGAGGTTCTCAATCGATACAAAGCAGTGAATCGACCCTCGACTAAAGCAATCGATCCAATACTATCAATCTATGGTGCTCTATTAACCTAATCAGGTATTCGCTCTCATAGGATCAAAGCAGAATCAATAATCTCGACTAAAGCAGAATTGAATCATGAAAACATGCATAGATTGAATATGAACTCAATATTATCAAGTCAGAGTACTCATACAATCATCCAATCAAACAAACATAGCTAGGGTTCCCCAAAACCTAAGTGAAGGGAAGTTACTCCATAGAGAAGAGAGAGACTGCAGTAAGAATCTTCAGATGATCAGTCTTCAAGTCCGGGCTTGTTCCTCGAGCTTCCAAGGCGAAGAAATACTCCAATTCCACTCCAAGAATGCCCTCAAATCGCCCTCTCTTTCTTTGGTTCGTCCCTTGGGTGTTTGGGATCCAAAACCCAGCTCCCTCTTGCAAAAACGCACAAAACAGGCTTTTAACAGCCTGCGTTCGCGATAGGGGATTTTTGGTTCACGATAGGGGATTTTTGGTAAAATCCCCTATCAAGACCAAAAATCCCCTACCGGGGATTTTAGCGTCACGATAGGGCCCCCTTCTGTTTCTCAGAGAAGCCCGAAACCAATTTTCCCCTATCTTTGATTCTTCGTTTCTCCCTCGTTCGGACTCCAAATCAGGTGCCGTTTGATCCCAGACGCTCGTAGTCTCGTCCTCTTTCTTCTCATGACAAGATTACATTATTATATGGTCACAAACTGAGGTAGAAATCCATTCTTCTTCAAGTCATACCCAAGTTTCTTCCCCCGAGTCGCCAATTGATATCCGATTGACTTGAAACTTGCGCCTACGCTTCACTTTATGTGCTAGGACCTGAAATGTGACAAAGGAACACAACCTAGCGTAAAATAGGCCAAAGAAGCGATAATGCAAGCTTAAATGATCAAGAAACAAAGGGGAAAACATGTGCAAATATCGAGTCATCATCTTCGTTCACCTCCGAAGGCACCTGCCATATTTTGGCGGCCGACATGGCTAACCCATGGCGCACCCACTATCAACGGCGGACATAGGAGAGCATGGAAGGGCAATGAACCCAGAGTGGAGGCGCTTGAGGGTCCAGCAGGTGCCGACGCCCTCTGTAAGGCAACAACTGAGAGGCGGGGTAAGTGATGCCCACGCCTAAGTGATGAAAGTCAAAAAGAAGATCAGAAAGAAGGGATAAGTCAAAGCGATCGCTTACTAGAGTTGGAAGGGTGATTAGGAGCAACGCCTGCATCAGAGGCGCCTGCACCGGTAGCCTTGTCTTGCGAGGAAGCCATGTGACCGTAAGAGGAAGAGAGGACGTCGGCGGCGTCGAGAGAGCTCGAGAGAAGTTAGAGAGAGGGGATTGTTAAGAATGGCGAGGCTGAGGAGGCTGGGGGTATTTAAAGGGAGGAAGGGCGCACATCGATGTCCGCGCCACCTGCCACGTGTCAGCATCACGGGCGGACATTTGAGTTTCCCCCATTTTGAATTTCAAAAAACCGAATTTTGAATTTAAAAAAATGCCAATTTTGAATTTCAAAATTCCAATTTTTTAATTTAAAAAATTCCAATTTTGAATTTAAAAAATTCTTAGGTTCAGTCTCAAACCCCCGCCCATGTGGGGGCGTGAGGGGAGCACACAGGCGCCCGAACAAGACATGATATTAGAAGAATCGGCGAAGGGTTGGGGCGCCTCCCGTAGCATATTCAAAACATTTGATCGCACAAAAAGGTGCATGGTCATAATGCGATCTCCTTCACCGTTACGATCTCCTTACTCTGTTTCTGTTGTTGCGGTTTGTCTATGTTCGACATCTCAGCTCCTGCAGCTCAATAATCAACACGCCAGCCAGGCTCAGTTACCACTGTGAGAACCACGGATCTAGGCGTGCGATTTAGGGATTAGACGAATTAGGGATTGGGAATTTTGGTGAGAAAGAATGGGAATTTGGGATGAGAGAGAGAGCATAATCGGGTTCCCGGGTTGGGAATCCGCCGATTGTGAGAGGGAAGGAAGGGGTCGGCCAAGGTGAGATGAGAGAGAGGGAGAGTTGGGAACAATTTCTGTATTATTGCTTGCCCTTGACCTAACATAACATTATATATATATAGCCCGACTAATTACTGTTTACTACCCGAATAATTAACCTAACCGAATGAACCCTCACAATTCCCCTACCTGACAATATCCGAATAATACGTAAATAACAAATAGACTCTCAACAATTATGTTTCTCACAATCCATCCCCCTTGAAACCCACCTTGCCCTCAAGGTGGCCCATGGACCTTGTCGTCCTCCTTCTTGTCCTCTCCTTCAGCACCCAGCTCCATTTCCTCGCCTTCATCCTCCCAATTTCCGACCAGCAGCATTAGGTGACTTTTGGTGCACTGATGACCCACAGTATACCTCTCATCACAGTTGAAGCAGCGTCAGTATCGGCGTTTCTGGTCCATCTCTGCCTGAGTCAGTCTCACGAACCCGCGCGGTGGTGCTCTGACCGGAAATCGCGTTCCGACAGTGGTCTCCGCCGCCGGAGGGCTTGCTGCCGCCGCTGGTGCTCCCGCCCTAGTACCTGCGCCGCCACCTACTCCACCACTGGCCTTCTGCATCCTGCCCACAGAGGATCTCCAGCTTGCTAGCTCCTCCTCCTTCCGCCCTGCAATTCTGAAAGCCACCCGGAGAGATTCTGGTTCGAAGACCTTGACCGCAGTGGCCAGCTCGGGCCTCAGGCTTGCCATGCACAACCCCACCAGTATTTCTTCGGTCATCTCCTTGCATTGATTTCCCAGCTTCAAGAACTCCGCTCGATACTCCGCGACTGACCCTGTTTGTTTAAGTTTGGCCAGCTGCTCCGGTGCCCAGCCTTCCGCCCTGCCAAACTGGTACCGGAGCTCATCCTGGAACCGAGCCCATGAAATCCTCTCACCTGCTGCAGCATATGCCCTCTCAGTCCACTCCCACCACTGGAGGGCATCCCCCTCCAAATAGAAGGACGCCAGATGCGCCCCCCCCCCAGCGCCTCTAGGGCTTCGGTCGAGTCTCGTGAGGCAGCAGCAGCTCGTTCTGTGGACTCTGTTAGGCTCTCCAGCTTCGTCACAATCGCGTCATACTTGTTATTCGTGATGTCCTTCACCATTACGATCTCCTTACTCTGTTTCTGTTGTTGCGGTTTGTCCATGTTCGACATCTCAGCTCCTGCAGCTCAATAATCAACTCGCCAGCCAGGCTCTGATACCACTGTGAGAACCACGGATCTAGGCGTGCGATTTAGGGATTAGACGAATTAGGGATTGGGAATTTAGGTGAGAAAGAATGGGAATTTGGGATGAGAGAGAGAGCAGAATCGGGTTCCCGGGTTGGGAATCCGCCGATGGTGAGAGGGAAGGACGGGGTCGGCCAAGGTGAGATGAGAGAGAGGGATAGTTGGAAACAATTTCTGTATTATTGCTTGCCCTTGACCTAACATAACATTATATATATATAGCCTGACTAATTACTGTTTACTACCTGAATAATTAACCTAACCGAATGAACCCTCACAATTCCCCTACCTGACAATATCCGAATAATACGTAAATAACAAATAGACTCTCAACAATTATGTTTCTCACAAGGACCAGCTAAAGCCAGGGCGCCTTTTGAGAGGGGGCATGTACTCAAGAAGATTTGATCGCACAAATGGGCGCATGGGCAGGAGATGAACGAGGGAGGATGACGAAAAGTTAAGACGCCTTTTGGCTAGATATATGAAGGACAATAGGGCGCCCGATGAGAAAATTCAGACAACACGTGGCCTTAAAAATGAGGAGAAAGGAGTCACAACAAGATTGAGGCGCCGGGCCAAGAGGATTAGTTAGGCACTCAATTAAGGGGCCATGAGTGTCTAACTAGGGGGCAATTGTTGGGGGTATTACAAATGGCCAATACTACGGTGCCGCTATAAGTAGTGCGACACCGATAACGCGGTCTCTAATTGGTACACGTGGACTGTGATGTGGCATGGTTGGATTAATTAAATCTTACCCAACCCATCCGGCCCATAAGAAGTGGCCCAAACCGTGTCCGTCAAAGTTAACGCATAACCATCGGTTACGCTATTTTATCTTTTATTTTATTTAAATTAAAATTAAGCTAAATCGTATTAGTTTTGCATTTCGGCAGAATAAGAAACAGAAAACAGAGGAAGTCGGAGAGAACAAAAAACAGAGATCAATCAAACGAACAAAAAAAAAAACTTCATCGATCTTCCTCTCCCGGCGGTTTCTCAAGAATCACTCCGACCCGACTTGTCCTTCGTCGATCTAATCGTGGATCTACATTTGTTTCCTCCTACTGTCCTGCACTTATTCTGATGTGACCGGGGTGAAGGTATCTGCCGTCGTCGCGAGCCTCTGTCTCCATCGAACAGTGTCGTCGGTAAGGTAGCAGACAACTCACGAGTCAGAGAAGACGAGAGTTTCCTTTCCCTGTGGTTCGTCGGCCTCTTTTTGCTCCGCTTTGTTGCAATCTTGGAAATCAAGTTCTAGGCGGTGCCAATTTGTCGCCGTCGGTGACCTCCCGCAGGCTCTCTCACTTTCCGTCAAATAGATAACTAAAGTACCACACTCACTCGCTGGCTACGGTCAGTTTTCAATTGACAAATGGAAAGAGAAACTGCTTGCAATGGTGTGCGGCGGATAGGGGCTTCTCAAAATTACCCCCAAAATTGAAGCCACATATGGTGCTCCTTTCATTCATAAACAATTCATTTTTCTTCAAGATTTCCTGCAACTGAATTGAGCATAGAGATTCAGTGATAAGATAGTCTACATTGATGATATAAGAAAGGAAGAGATGCATCAACGAGAGACCCGATCTGAAATACAGGTTATTTATCTCCTTCACTTCATCTGAGAAAGACAATGGAGCAGCAGCATTGCTGCACATATTCCTCATGGAACAATTAGATGGAAAAGATGAGTCGCATTAAGCTGTTAGAATCAATTTACATATATGCCTAAACAAAGCTAAACCTTAATCAAACTAGAATAGTAAACTCCACAAAACAATTCAATGGGCTTGCATTTCGCATCTCTTCCTCTTCGTTTGCATTGTCACTCCATCAAAAAGATCAAGCTGTCCAATAAAGACTTTTTTAATATCCGAGAAAGTCAAAATGATCCTAGCATAACTGGAATCTTAAAATCATCCACGCACAATCTAAATACTTTTACTAAGGCATGAAGTTCTAAACACAGGAATTCTTATGCCATAGCTTTTCAAGAAAAACAAAATTGTAATAGTGCTAATGAAGCCTTAATACCCGAGAAACTCATAATCAAAGAAGCATAACTTAGAATCGTAAAACCAACCACTCAATAGGCTGGAAAGTAGGAAAATTAAATACAACACTTCTAAAAACTCTATCCAATGGGCTAATGACTAGGTTTCTTTCCTTCCAGTCGAAGTTAATGAATGGAAATCATAGACTGAAGACTTGTGAGCACTAACCCCATTCTTAAACAATGATTTCACAATCATTTGACTGCAGATTCATTTCATTCGATAATTACTGCGAGCAACCTGGGCAAATAAATGAAAGAGAAGCAAACCACAAAACATTATCTTTCTAAACTCAGCATAACAAGGTCGAAATTCACTTTACCTGCAAGAGCTTCAAGGCCTTCATCATATCAAGCCTCCCACGGGACTGAAGTCAGATGGATGCAATAGAAGATGCAGTTCTAGACTGCTTGAACTGGAACATGAAACCTGGGGCAATACTGTAGCTAATTATTCAGTCGATCATGTGTTGTGAATAGTGACAAATTCTATAAATTAATTTAGCTACGGAATAGATGGTTAGCCACCGAATAAATAAGCGAGGATAACTTACCATTTACGGGTTGTGATACTCCGGTGGAGAAGAGGTTGAGGTTTGGAGTCGGAAATGGAGGCAGAGAGGATCGCCGAATGTGCACCCATCTGCAGCAATGAGTTCCCCGGCGGGACCAAGATTTGAGATTCGGGACACAAAGAATTGGGCATTGCGCCTGTCTTAATGCTTTGCGATTGGCAACGGTGGTCATGTGGCGTGCGACAGAGCGACATGGAAACGGGACAACACGGCGGCCCAGGAACGGGTGGTGGCGAGATCGATGATGCGGATTGCGGAGGCCATTGAAGGAGACGATCTTCCGCTTGGAGGCTCCAGGAGCTGCTTGCTGCGGCCGGAGGAGCTACGGCGAGAAGAGGCCGATGAAGAGCAGAATTTACAGATTGTGAACTGAAATTGTGAAATGGGGGGAGGAAGAGGCGGAGCTCGGATCAACTGTGTTTGTCAATTGCCTAACAGCACGACGTCGAGTTAAGGTCTGGCTCTGGCATGGCTCTCCGTTAGTTTGGAAGAGGCCGGTTGGGCCATTTCTAAACGCCACCGAATTTTGATCATTGTTCATTAAACATATCCAGCCCGCCACATCAGTACCACGTGGACGAATTAGAGATTGCGTCACCGGTGCCGCACTTTTTATCGCGGCACCATAGTATTGGCAATTACAAATAGGGCCCAAAGAGGAGCCCAACAAAGCCCAATGGCCCAACAAGGCCCATTGAGCAGCGGCGGATCCAGGACATAAGAGAGCACTGGGCCGCATTTGAATAGAATATTAAATATCATAGATAAAAACTAGTTTTTTACCCGGCCAGTTGGCCGGCGAACTTCATTTTAATATTTATATTAGTTAACTATCTACATGTTTGAATTTTTTGGATCTTGTATACATTTTCTGCTCTCGCTTCATAAGTGAATATGTGGTATGCCTATATCGAAAATTCTTAATATTTAATAGTTAGCACACTCGCTTGTGATGTTTTTATTCTCTAATCATAAATCATGTCGTAAGGATTTATCACGTGACGTCCCATTTAAGATCGTATATAAAAAAAACTTTCCACCAAGACGCTCAAATTTATTATCTTATACAACAAATATTAATTCATGATTCTCGAGTTTGTACGAACTCTCAGCCAATTAATCAGAGTTCAAAATATTGGAAAAAGATACTTGATTACTGGATAAATTATGTTTATCCCAATTGAAATTTGACACACATTGTATCCCTTATAATGATTAAATTCTATAAACCTCACTCATTTTTATTGTTGATGTTCATGAAGTCTTTGTATAGCAACTTATGACAAATTTTCTATCAAGATACAAATTATTATTATCTTACAATATATATCAATTGCTAATATTTTAAGTTTGGACTAACCCTCAACCCATGCCTTCTGTCTAGATGTTCATTTAGAATATGAATCCAAGGCATTCATATACACTATAGAAGGTTCTCATTTTAACATGTTCCTTCAATGTATAATTTTTCAACTATTAGAATGTCCATTCGCTAAAATTTCTTTATATTTGATGTTTGTTCTAGAACAAAAATTTCGTTACTTATATTAATAATTGGTAAAGTGTGTATACGACAGACAAATATTTCAGGTGCATTCAAAATTATGTATTCGCTGAATAATTAACTTATAATTTTTTTTTTAAATATTTTGTAGCAAAATTTAAAAGTTCATACAAACATTGTGGCTTTTCACATGTATTTAAATAATTGGATGTAATGTAGCACATCTATTGTTAATATCTAAACATATATATATACAGAGAGTTTCAACACTAATTAATACCTTTGAACTCAACTCCTTGGGTGGAATATCATATCAATTTTTTTGTTATTGCCAAATTTTGGTACGAAATCCCAGGCTCATAACTATATAGGCTTGTTACAATTTTCTTACTAAGCTCATATTTATTAAATATTCTTCTTTTGACCCAATAGCTCGGTTTCCACTATTGTAACAATAATTTTTTTTGTTATATATGTGAAGTAAACATTAATGTTTATATATTACCTCAATCGTCGAATTTAGATTTTTCTTAACATGAAAAGTGATGTTTAACGTACATCCTTAACAAAGATTTCTCTAAATTTCACACATTTCATTTTTCAAGGGATCTCGTGTCTCATCCTAAAATATGACATCAAAGTTCATCAACTATTATACTCAAGTCATTTTGGAAACTTCAATTTATAATCTTTAACAATAAATAAGTTCAATAGAGCTTGCTCAATCAACATGACCTAGAGAAAATATTAGTAATGTGAACTTAGGATACATTATAAATACTGCACATACGATTCATATGTTTTCACTTGATCTGAATGAATAAGAAGCCTTTTTAATAAATAACTATTATTTCTAGGTCAAGTTTCTTTCAGACCTTATCGACATAATATTATTATTTTTGTGTGTTTGTTTACTTATTCATTAAAATGTAAATTATTATTATTAAGTTTTAGTAAAAATGAGCAAAAATTTACATAGTAATCTTTAATCATATTTTTTTTTTGTTTAAAAAGTGTGATATATATGTCACTCTACATACATTAGTATACTGTTGCGTACATCGATATAATGCAAAAACAAAATGTGATATATGTCACTCTCCATCATGATTGTCACATCGGTCGGCATGCCACCGGTTGAACAATTCAACCGGTACCGGTCATGAAATCGACATGACACCATCGGTATGACTGGTATGATCGTTTTACGAATTTCTAAGTATAATACGTAGTTTTAGTGAATTTAAGTATGAGTACATGTAATTTTATTTGAAATATCATATTTTATTCAAATATCAATATGAATTGTACGTAAATTGTCTTCAAATATGGTTATATAGGATTAAATTCATTTGATATGAATGATTAAACCGGTTGTACCACTGGTAAAACCATTCCACTTGCTAAACCGGTTTGATAACCTTTCTCGCCATATATTATTTATAGATATAATGCAAAAACAAAATAATTATTGGATAAAAGAGATTAAGTATTAAATGAAGAGAGAGGGACAAGCTAGCAAGGGGGCTAGCAAGGCCTTCACAGCGCCTACTCTAGCTCACTCGATTCAGCACAAGGCTCTTCTTTGGCATCAGGCGTGGGAGGCTCCCTCTCTAAAACCAGGGAGGTCTTTTTTACAGGTGGACAGGTCCACAGTGCAGATTTGCTGGCAGCCCCCCAGCTCCGGGTGGCGCAAGCTGAACATTGACGGTGCCTCGGCTGGTAACCCAGGGACGGCAGGCGCGGGCGGGGTGATCAGAGATGAGCAAGGGAGGTGGATTGCTGGGTTTGTGGCTAAGATTGGTGAGGCGACTGCTGCTTTAGCGGAGCTCTGGGCGTTCTACTATGGTTTAGACTTGGCGTGGAAGGTGGGGTGCGACAGCCTGGTGATCGAGTCCGACTCTCAGTCAGCGATCCAGTTGATAAACAATCGGCGGGACCCAGTTCATCCGTATGCTTCGCTGCTTGATGCTATCAGAAGGAAATTGGCACAGAGTTGGCTGGTTAGGGTAGTTCACACGTACCGCGAAGGGAATAGAGCCGCGGACTGGCTCTCGAAGCACAGTCTCGTCTATCCCTACGGTACGCATGAGCTCTCTAATCCGCCGAGGGAGTTGAGTCAGATCCTTAGAGATGATGTTATGGGCGTCTCTTTTGAGCGCCATGTAAGAGCGCCTACTGCTCTGTAATCTCCCCTTCTTGTCTTTCTTGGCTTTGGCCTCCCCTATTGCAAAAAAAAAAAAAAAAAACTATTTTTTTAGTAAAAAAGTTGTCCACCTTGGCCACTTGAGATCTCTCCAAGTGCTTATGTGGCAAAAATTTAATTTTGAATTGCCATAATATTATGTATAGATATATAATAATATAGCTTTCATTACAATGTCAATTGTATAAGAAAGTCTTTTAATTTAGCAAATTCATCAATAATATAATCTCCATCCATACTGATAATATACTCTTTTTCAAAGAAAATAGCTAAGTAATCAACGATAAATTCATCGCTCATTTTGTTGCACAAATCAATGTTCATGTTCCATTGCTGAAAATATTCTCTCCATGGTAGTTGTTGAAATAGGTCAACACTAGACAAATCAACCGATAAATCAATTTGTATTGTGTGTCCATCCCTGTTTCCTCCAGCTTCTCTAATAATTTTGCAAGAGAAGAAACTTCATCTTCCTCACATGAGTAGTGCATTATCCAAAAAATGCATCTCATAGCCTTCAAAGTCTCGAGGCTAAACTCTTGAGCAAGTTTGTAAATATTTCTTCATCAAAACACCAGAAAGAACGGTTAGAATCTAGTGCCCCACTCAATTGAGGCAATCTAAATGATAACTCAACAAGTTTGTAAATATTTTCTTAATCAAAAGAATGGAAAGAAAACCAGCTGGACGGGCTGGCGGAGAAATCCATTTTGGGTCTGCTCGTCTCCTCGTTCTTGTTTTGTTTTGGGGGGATTGGGAATTTTTTTGAAGTTTGCAAGGAAGGGTGTGCTTTATGTTGGGCCAACCATGGAGTCTCTTGGGCCGACAGGTCCATGACCTACAAAAAGCCCAGCCAAACAATCGAGCCCGGCCCTAATAGGCCCAGGGCACGCTAATAAAAGTTTCGAAGGCGGTCTTCCCGAAAGAACCGCCTGACACATCCCCAACGGAACTCTGAGAAACCGCCCGACACTGGGGCCTAACGTCCCTCTGACACCTCAGTACGGAGGCTGACAATGGTACGATCCTGACAGCCTCCTGAGAACAGGTCCTTATGCGACCTTGGACGCCCGACAGGGCATTAATTATCCTCACTCCGACATCCTCTTGTATAAATACCCACTCATGGGACACATTTGGGGTAACTTCTATCTACTCCATTCTCTCTCTTATTCACTATATCCACTTCTCTCACAAACTTAGGCATCGGAGGAGGTCCCAGGGCTCCCCTGAGGACCTTTGTTGCAGGACTTCGAAGGTCGCCTCTCATCCTCCCAAGACCGCACGAAGACTGTGAAGCCTCGCAAACCGCCCGGTACATTCCAGGCATAAACATTTTGGCGCCCACCGTGGGGCCTCACGACTTCGTCACCGGAAAAAATGGGAGACGACTTCGAAGCTCCTCTCAAAGGAATGACCCAGAACAACACCCTCCGGGGTCTATCGCCGAGAGTCGAAGACGAATCGGAGTTCGAAGAGATAGTCAAAGGTCATGACATGCAAATCGCGAACATGCAAGACAGCCTGTCGCAAATCCTCTAACTACCGAAAACGAAGGAAGACCCTCCTGAGGGGTCGAGGGGAAGGACGCGAGAAGAGATGCAGATCTAGGCATCCTTGAAAAACATTTACGGTCGACTTACGGGAAGCACAAGAGTCCCAATGTTCTTCAAAAA